GTAGGTTAGCTCCCGCCGACGCAAGCTGTGGGAACCCCAGCCGGCCGGGTCACCGTCACCACATTTCCCCCCCAACATGGCTTGGCTGCATCATCCCCGACCCACCTACCCGATGACGATGGCCCCGTATGCACGATGTGCGCGCACGCACACACACAAAAACGCACCCCCCCTTTTTCCAGGTGTTCCGATGCCCCCCTTCTTCAACTAAGTCTTGGAATCAAAGTCTTAGTGGCTGGCGCTGCCGGCGGCCACTGCGCCGCCCCCCACGCACCACCGGTTGAGCAGGGGCTGCCCAGATGGGTCGTGGCAGCTTCAAGTCTAAGACCAAGTCATAAGCTGAGTCGAACAAAACTAACGAACAGTACTAAGTCAGAAGCTGAGTCGGCAACGCCTTAATAGTCTGAGCGAAGTCGTAGCTGAGTCGGCCTGGCCACCGAAGTCGCCACTAAGTCGAAGCTGAGTCGGCGCCGCCTTTGAAGTCTGAGCTAAGTCTGTTTTTAGCTTCTTCTTCTCCGTCGCGAACCAGCAGCCAGCTTCTTTTTGCCAGGAAAACGCCCCCGCCCCCCCGAGTGATGGCATGAAATGGTACGCGGTGGATAAACAACAACAGCCAAGAAGGGAACAACATAAGATTGACATGCACGTTCTGCGGGCTTGTATGCGACACGCTTGTGATCCGTGCTATTCGGTGACCCGCGAAACGGCGCTAAAACTGTTAAACGCACTTGGGGGCCATCCTTGGGCCCCCGCACCGGCGCGAAATTGTCGCGAAAGTTCCCCTGATCTTATGAGAGACGGAGGCGCATTTCATGCTCAATGACACGCCAGGTGCGTTACATGCTCAATGACGCGCCGGGCGCGTTACATGCTCAAAGACGCTCCTGCTCGTGCAGCGCTGCTATCCCACCTAGTCGGATTGTTATCTTTCACCGTCCTCTCGTCCCCCATCCCCTCTCCGCGTCCACATCTGGAGATTCGGGCCGTCTTCCAATGGCCCTGGCTTTAACAAGCGCGCCTCCACCCTCTACGCCATCCGACGCGGCTGCAGCAAAAGAGCGGCCCCTTGGATACAGGGGTTGCCTCACACACACACACACAAACACACTCACTCACTCGCTCTCGTCTCCTCCCCCTCCTCAACTCCCCAGCTCCTATCCCACCCCATGCGATGCCGCGCACTGTCACGAAACCTCGGCCTACTGCCTCTCGTCCCCCATCCCCCCTCCTCGTCCAAATCTGGAGATTCGGGCCGTCTTCCAATGGCCCTGGCTTTACAGGCGCTTCTCCACGCTCGACGCCATCCGACGCGGCTGCAGCGAAAGAGCGGCCCCTTGGATACAGGGGTTGCCTCACACACACCCACGCACACACACTCACTCTCGTCTCCTCCCCCCCCCCTTTCGCCTCTTGCCTCTCGTCCCCCATCCCCTTTCCGCGTGCACGCATAACCACGCGCACCCGCGCGCTCACCCTTTCAGATGTACCAGTGCTCGCCCTGCTGCCTCGCAGCTTTTGCCACGCTAATGTGAAGACGACAGGAGGAGTCTTTCACAAACGGCCATGCAATCGCAAGACCTCGGTCAAGTCCCCGCGTCTCGCGGCCAGTGCCAACCTTTCACCTACCTTTCCCAACACATGCGGGTACCGCTTTCGAATTGTCAACACCGCCCTCGCGATCTCTTCGGCCTCATGCCCTAGCGCCAAATACACCCCTACTAGCTGCACCGCTGCCCTTTGTGCTCGAGGAACCGGATAACTCAGGCGCACGGCTTGGTGCAATCTCCCCAGAAGCCCTGCCACCTTCACCGACTGGCTCCCCCCTGACAGCGAGCTCCGGTACCGCCACCTGTGCTGCTCCGGAAATCCGCCTTTTCCGCCCCACTGCTCTATCCCGTCGAAGCCCTCCACGGTGTACTGCGTTTCCACCGTCGCCCCCCAAGTCACTATTTGGACTCCCACAAAATCGTTGGCTGGCTCCTTTTCAAGAACAACTGGCGCTAAGTAAAAAGTGCTGTCCAGAAGGGAAGTAGGAACCAACGCTGTGCCCGCCCCCCGATGCCGGAGCCCAACCACCAATCTATTGTCAACGTACCGCAGCGCCTCCCACATATCCCTACCGTGTAAAATCCCGCTAGATGCTGATCTCATCCACTCTCGTTCCCTTTGCATAACTGAAATCGTACACCATGCTGGCGACAGCGGCGAGCCGATAAAGGCCCCCCGAATCTGGCGCACGACCTCACCAGCACAGGAAAACACCGACGCCTCTTGCGCGTGGCGTAATAACGGCAGAATGAACTTCTTCAAGGGAATATGAACCCCCTCAGGGTCCCGAACCAATCCGCAGACTGTCCTCCTCCCAGGGCCCCTGGGAAACACTGCGAACACCAAATTGTTTTGGTCGCCTGGGGAATTTGCTCGGCTTTTCACAAATTCCTGCAACAAGGACTCAACGTCAGCAATGAGCCTTTCCTGTGGCACCGAAGGGAAAAAACCCTTCAAGTCTTCGCCCCAGAATGCAACTTCCCAGTCTGCCGCCTCGCCAGGAAATCGCTGCTGCCACCTTCGCAATCTTCCGTTGTACTGTCGCAGCCTGCCAATTGCCCCGGCCGTTGTGGACGCCTGGAACGTGTTCCCCCGCATCATCTCCTCTCCTACATCTTTAAGCACGCGGCCGACGACTCGGTGAATTCTCTTCAGCGGGTGCCTGGAAAACTCAATCACGCTCCTGGCTGAGGTGAACCCTTTCTTCGCTTTTGGAATGCAGTGGCACCCCGGCAGGTTGTCGCACTTAGCCCGGGCGAACGCCCACCGACAAGCAGTCCGGACCCCCCTGGGAATCAACGATTGCACGTGTCGCGCCGCTTCTGCCGGCGTAGTTCTTTCCACTCGGAAGACCTCGCCTGATCGGAAAAATGCATCAACGAACAGACTGCTATATAACCGAAGACAATACCCCACTAGCCTGGTGTACTGGTGATCTTCGCAATGCCAAACTAAGTCTGGATACTTTCTCTTCAGCTCTTGAACGCCTGCATTGGAAATCGCGTCGGCCACGCAACACTGCTTGTGCTTGTCCCATTGGCCCTCCACCCATTCGTCTACTAAACGCCCCAACCCTGCCTGCCCCCCCCCACGGCGCAACGCTAATGGCATTGAATTATTGTTGTTCCAGAAATCACATACGGCTTGGCGAGCATGCCGTTGGAAAGCTAACTTCCCGGGGAACACGGTCTCCTTTGAATTGGCCCCAGCCACTGCCCTCCCCGCCGCCGACAAACCAGGCAACAGATACCCGCGGACCGCCACGTGCCCCCCAGCAGACCACGCTTCCCCGGGCAACTTGCCGCGGTATTTCTGGCACACGCACTCCACGGCAGCCACTGTGCCCCGTCGCAGATGCCGGGTGAATTTGCGAAAATTCCACAACCTATCCTGGATACTCGGCCATTTGGCCTCGCATACCCCCACCCGCGGCACGTGCAGAGGCAGCGCAGCATCCCGACAACCATCCAGCATACCTTTCAGCAGTTTTCGCGCATCGTCCTTGAAGCTCCCGTGCGCCAGCGCTCCTATCTTTAGTGGTCTTGAAGGTTTGGGCGCGCTCAACCCCCTCCAACCCATTGCATCGGCAATATTTTTCCTTGCCCTCCCACGCCATGGCTCGTCCAGGTACGTCGTAGAACGATGCAGCAAATACAATTCAACCACTGAAACGCTGTGGGGCCTTATCCTTTTTTCTATCTCGAACGAGCTGAAAGTGGCATCGCCGAGGAGATACACGGTCCGAAAAATCTCTGCTTGAGGGGAAATCAGATCGTCCCCCGGCGGCTTGGTAAGACCGCTTCCCCCGGCGAGCCTCCGGGCCCTCGCCCAAAGTCTCCGCCCGGGAGGGCGGTTCAAGGAAGAACGGGGCAACGCAGGGCGCTCTCGCCCCAGCCACCTGTGCACATGCGGGGCGTTTAGCTCCGGCTGGGCTTCCTTTTGCAACAACATTTCCGCTACCGCTGCGTCTAACCTATCTCGGAACAGTCGGAAAACCACCGGCGCGAATTCAAAAAAACGAGCCTGTTTTCCGCCACCACTTGATGGCAGGCTCCACGTGAACCATGCCAACTTGTCTGAACTTCCGGACCCTAGAAGCCTCCCTGGCGGCCACCGAATTAGTGCACATTCCAACGTACGCTGCGTTCATTTTTGCTGATAGCTTCACGTACACCCCTACGGGCCCACGGAAATATGCAAAACTGTAACTAAAGAAATTCACCCCTGCCCTTTTCAAACGCGTGGCCCAGCTACGATGCCACTGGGACCGGCTGCTGGCAAACAAGCCGATCAGACTTCTACCCCAGACCCACAGGACTGCGCTAGCCGCTTTTCCCACCTCACCGGGCCTAGCAGGATTCTGCCGCAAACCCCGGTAAAGCAAAGAACAAAATTGGCACACCATCCTATGAATATGAACCCCTTCATCCGACCTACTCGGCAAACTCACCTCTCCTACAGACCTGCGCCCCATGCGCTTCCCCTCCACTCACTCGGCGCACACCACGGCCGCGGCCAGCAGCCGCACCATGCGCCCGTAGTCGGTATTGCTGTTACCCCCGAACGTCTTGGGAGGGACCCCCCACTCGACCAGGAGCTCCCCGACCCGGTCGTGCAACGTCGCCTCTTCGATCTGACTCTTTGCCAGTGCCCGGAACTTTTCTTGCAGCTTTTTTCCCAGCTCCTCTGCCTTTTTTCGCTTTTTCCCCTTCCAGCCCCAAGCCCTTGATCTTCCCGTCGATGTGCGCCTTCTTGAAGCACGTCACCCCCGATGCCCTGAGCACTTTTGTCTTTCCCCCTCGCGAATACGACATCAGCTCTTGGTCCAAGTCCACTTTCTGCTCTTCGCCTTCCTCCTCCTCCTCCTCATCCTCATCGTCGTCTTCTTTCTTCCCTTTCCTCCCACCCTTCTTCAACTCCGTGTTCTCCTTCTCTAGACGGTCTATTGTGGCCTGCATCTTTTTCAACTCGCCGTCTACTGGGCCCTCTCCGAACCCCTGCCTCTCCCACAACATTTTGACGATTCCCTTAGCCAGGTCATTAGCCACCTCTCTCTTATACTCCTTTTCATCTGTCTTCAAGCCCTTCTCCTTCGCAATCTTGGTAAAGAGCGCCTCTAAGTTTAGTTGGATGGGGGCCGAGCGATCCCGAATCTCGAAAAGCACGGAGTGGATCAGGGCGTGCTCGAACGAGTTCCGGCAAGCTTCTAGTATGATGAACTTCCCATTGGAAACCAACCTCATTGCATAGTCATTTTCCTTTTTGTAGAGGTAATCGACAATCTTCACGCCAAACGGATCGGTCAGGGCGGTGCCCCTTTTATCGGACCATTTTGTTTTCGTGATGCTCTTAGGTATCTTCATCCCGTTGTGCTCTGTCACGTCGTGGTGTGAGTCGTCTGGAATCAACCCCGATGCCCTGCCACGCCCGTCCATCCTCGCCACTCCTTTACTGCCGCCCCCTTCCTCACCTCCTCCCTTCTGCTCGCGCCTGCCCTTCTTTGGGTCGGGACTTCCGGCCTTCGGCGTCCGCTCCTCAGACCTTCTGGCACTCCCGGTCCTGTCCCTCTCCTTGCGCTTCGCTGGAGTGGGCGCGGCGCCCCGGGGCGGCGCCTGCGTCCTCTCCTCCCTGCCGCCCTTCTCCGTTGGACTCGAAGTCCCTGGAGCATGGTCGCGGTGCCGCTCCTCCCCCCCCTTACCTCCCTTCTCCTCTTTCGTCTTCTTATCTGATCGGCCCCTTTCCCCCCGCGACGACCGACCACGAGGCGCGTCCTTCTCCTTGGACTTCACCGGCAGGTGAACGTAGCGATCCTTCCCTTTCTCTTGCTCCCTGTCTTTATCTTTCCCTTTGCGGTGCCGAACCTCCTCTGACCTGGTTCTCTGCTTCCTTTCCTCCTCGCGGCCCCTCCTCGACCTCCCCCTCGACTTCGACCTCGACCTCACTCTGGACCTCGACCTCCTCCGGTACCCCCCGCGCCCGTCAGCACTCCTATCCGTGTCGCGCACGCGCCCGGGCGACCTCCGTGATCGCTCCTCTGGCTGCCTGCCCCTGGCGGTGTCCTGGGCGACGCCCGCCCTTTCGGCCCACCCTTCCCCGCCGCTGGCGCAACCCGCCTTGCCTCCTCCGGGCCACCCGCCGCCTTTGATCGGAGCCCACGCCGAGGGCTGCCAAGTCGCCCCGCCCGCCCCTACTCCCGGCGGCGGCGCGGGCAGGCCAAACACTACCCCGCCCTTTCCTTGTTGATGCCACTGGGCCCCTTTTCCTCCGCGGCGAGGACGCCACTCCATGGCCCCGTGGGATCTTCGGCGCCGCCCAAACTACTGGCAACAGCCGTTGGGGAAAACCGCCGCGGGGCCCTTCCGAGCCCAAGCGCCTACGAACGACGAGAAACTCAAGAGCCTGACCCCGATCGGTGCGCTCACCTGCCACCCCCCTTCAGACCTCAACTCCTGTCGGTCTGACCCCCGCCCCCTTCCTCTTCCTCTGCCCCCTTCCCCCCCCACCACCCATTCCCCCCCACCCACCCATCATCCTCCCCTTCAACATCTTAAACACTTATTCAGGCTAATATTCCTCTTGCCCCCCGCGTTTCCTTCCGTTCCCTTTCCGCGGCAATCCCCGCTGCGGAGAGACGGAGCACGTGGTGGTCGCCCTTCCAAGTCCTGTGACCGAGCCAAGTCAATGTTTGTCGTGTGCTGAGTCTGCTTGTGACCGAATCATGGCAAAGCCGTTTTTCTTGTAACATTAAGTCATTCACTTTTTGCTGAGTCGATTGTTGAAGTGTCGGCCGCCGAAGCGGTTCTTGGGCCCTCGCGGGCGTTGCGAAGGAGGGCCCAGGACCCCCGCGAGCGGGGGCCCGAACGCACTTGAAGAGTGCCGGAGGCGCGCCCACAATGACGACGGCCCGAGAAGCTCACCTACTCGTGCAACATCCGTCTCTCCACTGCTCCTATGGATCCTGGCTTTTCGCATGAAACTTATTGTTTGGGAAAGCACCCATCAAGAGGTACCCTACTTAGCTGGACACTGGCTTTTGCATGAAACCTATTGTTTGGGAAACCACCCTTCAAGAGGTACTCCCAGCCATTGATCTGCAAGCATGAGTAGGCTAGCTCCCGCCGACGCAAGCTGTGGGAACCCCAGCCGGCCGGGTCACCGTCACCACATTTCCCCCCAACATGGCTTGGCTGCATCATCCCCGACCCACCTACCCGATGACGATGGCCCCGCATGCACGATGTGCGCGCACACACACACGCAAAAACGCACCCCCCCCCCCCTTTTCCAAGTGTTCCGACGCCCCCCCTTCTTCAACTAAGTCTTGGAATCAAAGTCTTAGCGGCTGGCGCTGCCGGCGGCCACTGCGCCGCCCCCCACGCACCACCGGTTGAGCAGGGGCTGCCCAGATGGGTCGTGGCAGCTTCAAGTCTAAGACCAAGTCATAAGCTGAGTCGAACAAAACTAACGAACAGTACTAAGTCAGAAGCTGAGTCGGCAACGCCTTAATAGTCTGAGCGAAGTCGTAGCTGAGTCGGCCTGGCCACCGAAGTCGCCACTAAGTCGAAGCTGAGTCGGCGCCGCCTTTGAAGTCTGAGCTAAGTCTGTTTTTTAGCTTCTTCTTCTCCGTCGCGAACCAGCAGCCAGCTTCTTTTTGCCGGGAAACCGCCCCCGCCCCCCCGAGTGATGGCATGAAATGGTACGCGGTGGATAAACAACAACAGCCAAGAAGGGAACAACATAAGATTGACATGCACGTTCTGCGGGCTTGTATGCGACACGCTTGTGATCCGTGCTATTCGGTGACCCGCGAAACGGCGTTAAAACTGTTAAACGCACTTGGGGGCCATCCTTGGGCCCCCGCACCGGCACGAAATTGCCACGAAAGTTCCCCTGATCTCATGAGAGACGGAGGCGCTTTTCATGCTCTATGACACGCCAGGTGCGTTACATGCTCAATGACACGCCGGGCGCGTTACATGCTCAAAGACGCTCCTGCTCGTGCAACGCTGCTATCCCACCTAGTGGGATTGTTATCTTTCACCGTCCTCTCGTCCCCCATCCCCTCTCCGCGTCCACATCTGGAGATTCGGGCCGTCTTCCAATGGCCCTGGCTTTAACGAGCGCGCCTCCACCCTCGACGCCATCCGACACACACACGCACACACACACAACCACACACACAAAGAAGAAGAAGAAGAAGAAGAAGAAGAAGAAGAAGAAGAGAGAAGAATCAGAGAAGACACCCACCCACCCACCCGCCCGCCTGCCCGCCCACCCACCCACCCACCCACCCACCCACCCACCTCCACCCACCCACCCACCCACCCACCCACCCACCCACCCACCACCCACCCACCCACACCCACACCACACCCCACACACCCACACCCACAACACACACACCACACACACACACACACACACACACACACACACCATGCAACATGAATAATATAAAAAAGGAAGGGGCCTCTTTGATCGCCTGGTCCTCCTGTTCCTCCGCATTCGCATCGTCGTCGTCCTCCTCCTCCTCCTCCTCCGCGTCCCAAGTACGCAGTGGCGCCGCGTTCCACGACACCCCCCCCCCGCGCGCCCCCCCCTCCGCCCCCCCCCGCCCCCCCCCCCCCCCCCGCCTCTCATCCTCCGCTCATGTTCCACCCCCCCTCCTCCCCCCCCCGTCACCGACCCCCCCCCCTCTTGCCCCCCCCCCCCCCTGGGCAGCGGAAGCACTCGCGGCGACGACGGCGGCGACGACGACGGCGGGGGCGACGACGGCGGCGACGGAGTCCAAGACGAACAGGATAGCCTCCGAAACATCCCTGATGGCCCTGCATGGTCTCCAAGACAGCCCAAGAAACCTACAAGACGGTTAAGATGGCACCAGTACGACTCCAGAATGCTACAAAAGATCCCAGGCAGCCCCAAGAGACGACCGAAAGGCCCCAAGAAGCTCCAAGGACCCTCCAGAAGCGCCCACGACCTCAAACAATGACAAATGAAATGACATCAGAGAACATGAAACAGGAAGACGACACTGAACGACACTGCCGGCACAGAACAGATAAATAAACGATACTATGCGACAGCTGAGGGGTCCGGCGAATGCGTTCCCTTGAGCCCTAATCAGTCACAACGGTCGAAAACCTTAAGGGCGAGACTAATGCTAAACCTGAAATCGAAAATCCGGACCTAGTACACTTGTCGGAAATTCTCGCAAGTTTAGCTTCCCCGGCAGCCTCTGCCGCTGGGCAAGATGCGACACAGTAGGCCATTGCGACCGCTGCCCGGACAACCCTGGGAGGCAATAAACAAGAGATAGAGATACAGATGCAGACAGACAGAAAGGAAAATTGATCGAGACACCACTGAAAGACAGCATTCGGAATACAGGATTGAGGAGGAGAGGAGGGAGAGGGAGGGAAACCGACCACACCACCGCTACCACCACCTCCTCCTTTTCGTCCGGGACCCTGGCCCAGGAACTCGCTCCACGACAGCGCGTTGGCTTGCTCGAGATATTTGCGAGAAGCGGCCTGCGTTCTGCTCTTCAGGCTCGGGTTGGACTTCCCACGCTCCACCTCGTCGATTTCGTCGACCAGAACTAGTCGGCCGCTGGCCGCGAGATCAAAGAATGCTGCATTGCATTTGGAGACGTCATCTTTAGCAAGGGCGCCCACGGGAATCTTGCCGTGAGGTATCCACCGCGCTCTTCCTCTGGCCTGCTCTAGAGCTTCGCACGCGATGGCTAAGTCTATAGCAGTTATTCGATATTTGGCTCCTGAATTTACTTCCTTCATCATCTTGTCATATGGGCTTTGCGCCCACTGCGTGAAATTGATGCTCTCTGGAGCCGAGACGACAGCCCCGTCGAAGTGCAATCATGAATGGTCCTGAGCGCCGGCGGCGGCCCCTAACCTCCAGATCCCGGAACATGATGTCGCGAAACAATATTTGCATATATTCGACCTCTGCCACCGCGGCGGCCAACGCCTGCGTCTCGCTGGCTAAAGTAGACGGAACCTTACGTCGTAGTTTAGAGCTACGCCAACCCAGCATTGATGCACGCACTGCTTGGTTGTCGGTGATGGCACGATCCGTGGCGAGAACCATCCAAGCACCCTGCGTCGGATCCACTGGCAGGCCTTCATCGTCCACCATATGGTCGAAAGCGCCCACTCCACCAGCGTCTGAGAATCATACAAAAGCATGATTCTCTGGGCTTAACTTCCACACAGCCAGCCCCCCGGAGGCGGACGACCTCAGACGTCGCAAGAGCAGGTTGGCAAGTGAGATGTCTCCCGTCGTCGGTGCTTTCTACTAGCAAGGACGCCAGCTACACCCGCAGCTTCTGGTCGTGTCTCGCGGCCAACCAGTTAAACTTGCATACCTAGCGAGCGTAACAAATTGAATTCGTCATTCTCGAGTGGAGTGCCCTTGCTGCTCAGTCTGCCCTTCAGGACGGAGATCGGACGAATTTCCACAAGTATGTACTTTTCCATATCTACCACAGCCTTCTGAGGGCCCATTGTCACCCTCCGCCCCGCGTAGTCTACTGGACCGGCCTGGCAGTCGCGATACTTACCGAACCGAAATCTAAACTCAAGAACCTGCCTCAGCCACGCACGCGCTTCAGGGTTGGCACTGCCAAT